TCTTTTCTTTTCTTTTCTTTTCTTTTTTCTTTTCTTTTCTTTCTTTTTTCTTTTTTTTTGAGACAGAGTCTCGCTCTGTCACCCAGGCTGGAGTGTGGTGACCTGATCTTGGCTCACTGCAACCTCCTGCCTCCTGGGTTCAAGTGATTCTCTTGCCTCAACATTCCGAGTAGCTGGGACTACAGGCACTCGCCACCACGCCCAGCTAAATTTTGTATTTTTAGTAAAGACAGGGTTTCACCATGTTCTCCAGGCTGGTCTCGAACTCCTGACCTCAGGTGGTCCACCCGCCTCGACCTCCTGAAGTGCTGGGACAGGTGTGAACCACCGTGCTCAGCTGAGAGACCCCATTTCTAAGAAAAAAAAAAAGAAAAGCCCCTCTTTTAAGGCAATTTTACTATAACTCTCTAGGTGAGCTTTCCAGAGGTAGTCAATACATGCACAAATAAATATGTCTGAAAATTAATATTCATTTATTTATTTGTTTTTTGCAAACGGTCTGGCTCTGTTATGCAGGCCTGAGTGCAGCCTTGAACTCCTGGGCTCAAGCGATCCTCGCACAACACAATCCCAAATTTCTGTGACTATGGGCACACACCACCATGCTCAGCTAATTTTTGTATTGTTTTGGTAAAGACAGGGTCTCACTATGTTTTCCAGGCTGGCCTCAAATTCCCGGCCTCAAGTGATCCGCTTGTCTTGGCCTCCTGAGTAGCTGGGATTACAGGTGCATGCCAACATGCCCAGCTAATTTTTGTATTTTTAGTAGAGATGGTGTTTCACCATGTTGGCCAGGCTGAACTCCTGCCTTCAAGTGATTCATTGGAAAACATGTTTAGATCATAGAATAGCATGAAAAAGAAAATATAAATCATCCATAATTATGCCACCCAAATATAACCATTATATTGTGTTTACAGGGCGTACATCTAATTTTCTCAACACATAAATATGATTTCTGCACAATGTCATAGGAGTAAGACCAGTCTGGGCTTGGTGTCCTATGCTTGTAATCCCAGCACTTTGGGAGGCCAAGGCGGGAGGGACCCTTTAGCCCAAGAGTTTGAGACGAGCCTGGGCAATACAGTGAGACCCTGTCTCTACAAAAAGTAAAAACATACTAATTGGGTGTGGTGGTACATCTGTAGTCCCAGCTACTCAGGAGGCTGAGGTGGGAGGATTGCTTGAGCCCAGGATGCTGAGGCTGCACTGAGCTGTGATTGTGCCGCTGCCCTCTAGCCTGGGTGACAGATGGAGACCCTGGCTGTGGGGTATTATAAGACAGCATTCGCCAAGGGCTGGGTGGTAGCCTCCCTGGCTGCAGTGCTGGGATTCAGTGCTCTGTCTGCTTCCTTCAGGGCTTTTAGGGGTTTCTTTTCTTTTCGTCTCCTAACCCTTAAAATTTGTGAAACTCATGTTTTTCGGGCCTGTGGGCTTGCTCTTTTCTTCTCAGTGGAATGGCCATGTGGTTACTACTGCCTTGTTTGATGAATTGTGTGGAAAATGCATAACTAGGAGTTGTAGTGAACATACTTGGAAGATTTCTTTTTTCTTTTTTTTGAGATGGAGTCTCGCTCTGTTGCCCCAGCTGGAGTACAGTGGCACGATCTCGGCTCACTGCAACCTCCACTTCCTGGGTTCCAGTGATTCTCCTGCCTCAGCCTTCCGAGTAGCTGGGATTACAGGCACGTGCCACCAGGCCTGGCTAATTTTTGTATTTTTAGTAGAGACAGGGTTTCATCATGTTGGCCAGGTTGGTCTCAAACTACTGAACTCAAGTGATCTGCCAGCCCCAGCCTCCCAAAATGTTGGGATTATAGGCGTGAGCCACTGTGCCCAGACACTTTGAGGATTTCTTTTTTTTTTTTGGGACGGAGTTTTGCTCTTGTTACCCAGGCTGGAGTGCAATGGCGCGATCTCGGCTCACCGCAACCTCCACCTCCTGGGTTCAGGCAATTCTCCTTCCTCAGCCTCCTGAGTAGCTGGGATTACAAGCACGCGCCACCATGCCCAGCTAATTTTTTGTATTTTTAGTAGAGACGGGGTTTCACCGTGTTGACCAGGATGGTCTCAATCTCTTGACCTCGTGATCCACCCGCCTCAGCCTCCCAAAGTGCTGGGATTACAGGCTTGAGCCACCGTGCCCGGCCCAAGGATTTCTAATCTGCAGATTAGTGCCATGGGCTAGAAATCCATTTGTCTGTGTTGTGTTGCTCTTTACCTTCTGATTATCTAAGAATAATAGGGTGCCTTTTTAGTGACGCTTTACTCTGTAGGGGATGCTGGACTAATTTACACACAGGCAGTCCTGTCCTAATCACCAAGTAGTTTGCTGTTGGGTATGTTTTTTTGAAACAAGATAATATATAGGTGTAAACCATTTTTTTTTTCTTGATATAAGGTCTTGCTCTGTCGCCCAGGCTGGAGTGCAATAGCACCATCTGGGCTCACTGCAACCTCCACCTCTCAGGCTCAAGTGATCCTCCGGCCTCAGCCTCTCAAGCAGCTGGGACCACATGTGTGCAACACCATGTGCAGCTAATTTTTAAATTTTTCTGTAGAGACAAGGTCTTACTACATCTCCCAGGCTGGTCTCCACCTCCTGGGCTCAAACAGTCTTTCTGCCTTGGCCTCCCAAAGTGCTGGAATTACAAGCATGAGCCACCACACCTAGCCACCATTCACAGCCTTTGAGAAAGAAAACTAACCTTTGGCTGTCTCATTCATAAAATGGGATGACAGTGACCATCTGTCTACTCAGAAGAATGAAGGGAAGTAAAATCATGCTAAATCAAGTATTAATCTCAGGGCCTGTCCTATGAAAAGTTAACATCCAGGAAAAAGTGACTTGATCTGGAAATGTCAACTCCCTTCTTAGGCTTCTCCGCACCACAGGGAGGTATGACTGGCCTTGTACAACTTACAGGCTAGCTGAGAAGACACACATTAATAGTCACATCACAGAATCAAATAATCCTAAGCCTAAGAAAGGCCTGCAACAGATACCATTGAGAACAGCCCACTGCCCTAGGCTGGTGAATGTCTTAGGTATCCCTGGACAGCAGTGACAAACCACAGCAGGAGACTTGTCAGGTGCAGGAGAGTTGGCTTAAGACATGTGAATTGGGCCAGGTGAGGTGGCTCATGCCTGTAATCCCAGCACTTTGGGAGGCTGAGATGGGTGGATCGCCTGAGCCCAGGAGTTTAAAACCAACCTCGGCAACATGGTGAAACCCCATCTCTACAAAAAATACAAAATTTAGCTGGGCATAATGGTGCATACCTGTAGTCCCAGCACTTGGGATGTTGAGGTGGGAGGATTGCTTGAGCCCAGGAGGTCGAGACTGCAGTGAACCAAGATCACATGACTGCACTTCAGCCTGGGTAACAGAGTGAGAGCCTGTCGCAAAAAGAAAAGAAAAAAAATCAATAGTTCCCTGACTGCTGCAGAAATAATAGCAATTCTAGAGCTTTCTTTGCTACCAGTTTTCTGCAAGTCTAGTGCAAGTCTTTTAACCTCTTATTCACTAAAACCCCTCTGGCTCTGAAATTCTGTGGTCCTGGATTATTATTGTTTCCACTGTAGCTTCTTTCTTTTTCTTTTCTTTTTTTTTTTTTTTAGACTGTCTCTCTCTGTTGCCCAGGCTGGAGTTTAGTGGCACCATCTCTGCTCACTGCAACCTCTGCCTCCTGGGTTCAAGCAATTCTCCTGCCTCAGCCTCACAAGTAGCTGAAATTACAGGCACCTGCCACCAAGCCCCGCTAATTTTTGTTTGTTTGTTTGTTTGTTTTTAAGTAGAGACAGGGTTTTGCCATGTTGGCTAGGTTGGTCTTGAACTCCTGACCTCATGTGATCCACCAGCCTCAGCCTCCCAAAGTGCTGGGATTACAGGTATGAGCCACCACACCTGACCCCACTTTAGTTTCTTTTCGGCTGTTTGCTCTATTTCCCCAGTAAGTATTTTTAGTGTTTTGTTCTGTACTTATTTGTTGCACAATTGCTTTTACCGGTAATGTAGCATATGTTTAAGAAAAAGAGGCCAGGCCCAGTGGCTCACACTTGTAATCTCAGCACTTTGGGAGGCCGAGGCAGGCAGATCACCTAAGGTTGGGAGTTCAAAACCAGCCTGACCAACATG